GAGGTTGCAATGGGCCGAGATCGCGCCACTGCACTCCAGCCTGGGCAACAGAGCAAGACTGTCTCAAAAAAAAAACAAAAAACAAAAAAAAAACAAAACAAAATCCCTGGGATAGCCTGTTTCCAGTCAGATATTTTGTTATGTGATAACAGCAAACCTCTACCCTCTCAATTACTTCCACTTGAGAATTCTGTCACTTGCAGCCCAACCTTTCCGCGCTGGTACATCATGCAAGTGGCAGCTCAGGAGATCAGGTGTCAAGGGAACTGCTGGGTCTCACACAAACTGGTGAGGCACATGAATGCTGTTTACGATGGATACTAGCCGTGGTTTGGACTTCAGCTGGAACATACACGCACGCGCACACACACACACACGCGCGTCACTCAAAGCAAGACTAAAGGGCTTCACCTGCTCTGACACACACAGTGGGGTCAGGCCCCCTGCTCTGCTTTGGTGTTCCTTCTGTTCCGTGCACAGGCAGCGCCCCCAGTGCAAACCCTCACTAACTCACCAATGAAATAAAACAAAACAGTTCGGCATGGTGGCTCATGCCTGTAATCCCAACACTTTGGGAGGCCAAGGCAGGTGGATCACCTGAGGTCAGGGATTTGAGACCAGCCTGGCCAACATGATGAAACCCCATCTCTACTAAAAATACAAAAATTAACCAGGCATGGTGGCGGGTGCCTGTAATCTCAGCTACTCGGGAGGCTGAGGTGGGAGGATTGCTTGAACCCGAGAGGTGGAGGTTGCAGAGAGCCAAAATCACACCCCAGTACTTCAGCCTGGGTGACAGAGTGAGATGGTCTCAAAAAAAAAAAAAAAAAAAAGGAAAAGAAAAGAAAAGAAACAAAACAACCAATTTGTTTTCATATCTGCAACGGTGGCATCTCCAGACTGCACCATCACCTGCTCTGAAGGCAGGCAGGCCCCCACTAGAGTTGGGCCTGCAGTCCTCCAGCTCCAGCTCCCCATCAAGGGAAGCTGTGGCATCAGCATTTCCTGGTGGCTCTCATGATTACATTCAGAGTTGGATTTCCTTTGGAGTCTTTATGTCAGATGCTGCTTTTGTGATGCTGGGAGTCATTCAGCCTCTGCCCAAGGGAAGATATACTCCAAGGCTGTGGCTGGTGCAGAATTATATTCCCTAAGCATGATGCTGTCTTCCCATCAGCTTATTAACTATTTTGCGAGGAAGGCCAGGTAGGGCCTGGGGAGTCCCCACCTCCAGTGACCTCCTGTGAGGACGAGGCTTTGCCCATCGAGGGTGGGCATAGGAGGAAGGGATTCTGGAAACTTCCACCCTGGAATGAAATTGGGCAAAGACGGTTTGCACTGGGCAGTGAGCCCCAGAAACTTCTGAGGACCCCATACTGTGTTGCCTTTTCCTAATGCTTCTGAAGACCCATGGCACCAGCTCTTCTTCAATTTTTCTCTTTATTCCCTTTATTGCCTCCTTGGTCATCTTTCAGTCATTTATTCATTCACCAGTGTTTATTAAACACCTGCTCTGGTGTCAGACAGCAGGGGTGGGTGATGACAATAATCAGGACAGAGGGTCTCTGCCCTCCGAGAACTTACATTCTAGGACTGGAAACAAGCCACGAAGGGGGCGCCAAGCCCTAGGGGATGGGAGACACAAGGTACTTCAGGCACACACAGTAGCAGGAGCATCTAGTGGGGAAAGATGAAGGGATGACGTCCCACAGAAATAGCATTTGAGGCCGGGCACAGTGGCTCACACCTGTAATGCCAACACTTGGGAGGCAGAGGAGGGCAGATTACTTGAGGTCAGGAGTTCAAGACCAGCCTGGCCAACACAGTGAAACCCCATCTCTACTAAAAGTAAAAATTAGCCGGACACGGTGGTAGGCACCTATAGTCCCAACTACCCTGGAGGCTGAGGCAGGAGAATCGCTTGAACCCAGGAGGTGGAGGTTGCAGTGAGCCAAGATCACACCACTGTACTCCAGCCTCGGTGACAGAGTGAGACTCTGTTTCAAAAAAAAAAAAAAAAAAAAAATAGCATTTGAGCTGAGACCTAAGTGATAAATAGGAGGTCTCCAAGCAAAGAGGACAGGGAAAGGCACTCCAGGGCAAAGGGAACAGCACATGCAAGGGCCTGGAAGTGAGGGACAGCACCGTGGGCTCAAAGGACACGAAGAGGGCCTCTGTGGGTAGAACACAGAGCAGGTGGGGGCAGGGGGGAGGTGAGAGAGGCAGGCAGAGCTGATGCAGCCCCACTGGGGAGTAGGGCCTTTATGGAAAGAACAACAGGAATTTTCTGAAGGGTCTGAAGCAGACAAAAGATGTGAAGAGATTTCCAGATTCATTCAGTAGTGGTCTGGTTTGGCTCGGTGTCCCTCCCCAATCTCATGCTGAATCGTAATCCTCAGTGTTGGAGGAGGCGCCTGGGGGAGACAATGGGATGGTGGGGGGCGGTTTCTAATGAATGGTTTGGCACCATCCCCCTTGGTACTGTCTTGTCATAGTGAAATCTCATGAGATCTGATTGTTTAAGAGTGTGGCACCTCCCCGTCTCTCTCTTCCTCCTGCTGCTGCCATGTGACTTGCCTGCTCCCCCTTTGCCTTCTGCCATGAGTTATAAGTTTCCTGAGGCCTACCCAGAAGCAGAAGCCGCTATGCTTCCTGTATAGCCTGCAGAACTGTGAGCCAATTAAACCTCTTTTCTTTATATTTTTAGTAGAGACGGGGTTTCTCCACATTGGTCAGGCTGGTCTCAAACTCCCATCCTCAGGTAATCTGCCCACCTCGGCCTCCCAGAGTGCTGGGATTATAGGCGTGAGCCACCACGCCCGGCCCCAAACCTCTTTTCTTTATAAATTTCCTGTCTTGGCTGCATGCAGTGGCTCACGCCTGGCATCCCAGCACTTTGGGAGGTCGAGGTGGGTGGATCACCTGAGGTCAGTAGTTTGAGATCAGCCTGGGCAACATGGTGAAACCCCGTCTGTATTAAAAATACAAAATTAGCTGGGCGTGGGGGTGCATGCCTATAATCCCAGCTACTCAGGGGGCTGAGGCGGGAGAATTGCTTGAGCCTGGGAGGCAGAGGCTGCAGTGAACCAAGATCGCACCACTGCACTCCAGCCTGGGCCACAGGAGTAAAAACTCTGTCTCAAAATAAATAAATAAATAAATAAATATTTAAAAATAAATAAATTACCTGTCTCAGCCACTTCTTTATAGCAATTAATTAATGCTATAATAGAAATAGTAAATGTTTACTGAGGATCTACTGTGTGCGGGACACTGGGACAGGCACAGGGTTGGGGGCAGGGGTGACACGGTAGGGAACAAAGCAGACGTAGTCCTCGCCCTTGTGGAGCTGTCAGGCTGCTTAGGGAGCCTTTAAACAACACCAGATTAAGGCCTCATGACAATGGCGAGAAGAGCTATGAAGAGGATACTGTGGAGTCCATGGGATCCCCTGCTTGCCCCCCAGACCCACTGCTCTGTGCCCTAATGGGCTGACCTGGCTGCATCCCTGAGGGGCTCCCTTGCACTGAGGATCAGAGGGTTGGAAGAAAGAGGAGCCATTTCCCCTGGCTTGCCCCAGGCTCTCCAAGTTCCAGACCACTGCCCCCTTCCCCGCTGTTGCGAACCCTAGTGTTTCAACGTCCCTACTCATGCCCACATCCTTGTAAATGGTTCCTGAGTTAAACTGTTCTCAAAATACCCTGCTGGGGGTGCTCTGTGTTCCCGCCAGAACCTGACTGACACAGAGAGGTATAAACTGGAGAGGGGGCACAGAAAAGGCCTCCCTGAAAGTCACATTTAAGTTGAGACCTGAAAGACAAGCGGGAGTAGAGGAAGGGGTGGGAGTGGGGGAGCACAGGCAAAGGCCCTGAGGTGGGCCAAGGGGTAGGCAGGGGCTGGATCACGCAGGGCCTTTCAAGCCATGGTAAGGAGCATGAGCATTAATGCTGTCCTGCAAATACCTCCAGCTCTTTGTCTTCCAGATAATGAGAGGGTGGCACTTCCCAGACCCCTTTGTGGACGGGTAGGGTCCCGTACGTGACTATTTTCTCTTGCTTTTTATTTTCTTTCTCTCTCTCTCTCTTTTTTTTTTTGTTACCATAATTAGAAAACATGACTATTTTGAGCCCCTGGGTCATGAGCATAAGTGACGTGTTTTAGCCATGTACAGTGGCTCACGCCTGTAATCCTGGCACTTTGGGAGGCCGAGGCAGGCAGATCATTTGATGTCAGGAGTTTGAGACCAGCCTGGCCAACATGGTGAAATCCTGTCTCTACTAAAAATACAAAAATTAGCCAGCATGGTGGTACACGCCTGTAATACCAGCTACTCAGGTGGCTGAGGCATGAGAATCGCTTGAACCCGGGAAGCAGAGGTTGCAGTGAGCCAAGATTGCACCACTGCATTCCAACCTGGGCAACAGAGCAAGACTCTGTTTCAAAAAAAAAAAAAAAGTAGTGACATGTTTCACTTCCATACTGAAACATTCAATTGCCAGCATGAAACCCTCTAGAACTCTTTCTTTCCCATAACACCTGGCAATGTTCAAGATGGTGGCTATTCCTTCAGCCTAGTCCCAGTGTGAGAAGATATAAGGGCTCTTAGCCAACCCACAACAGTTACGTAGCATCAACAAGTAAGAATCCTTAAACTTTAAGTTTTAAACCACTGAGCATGCGTGAGAGGGTGGCATTTATTCCTGCAGCATAACCAAGCCTCTTCTAATCGATAGGGTGCAGCTGTGGGGGTTTATCCTAGGTGCAGCGGGTGGCGCTGGGGAGCACGGCAGAGGGATGGATTGGTATGGCTGAGCCTGGATACTGGAGCCCAGAGGTCTCAAGGGTAGCGAGACGATAGCAGCAGTCACATTTAGCGGGCTGTCCAGAGGAGAGACTGCGATACTGGGGTGTGAGGTCTGGCCTAAGCCATCATGAATATGCACCCCAACTCCTCCCCTTTGCTCTGTGTTCTGGTTAACCCCTTAAGAGAAAGACCACACCTTCTCATCCAGTTCAGCCAACAGCACTTTCAGGGATTTAATCAAGGCCTCGTAGTCCTCCTTGGTTTGCAGCAGGAGACACAGCTCCATGTAGTTCTTCTCACTCTGATTCATGTTCCTCGAGGATTTCATGAGACTCAACAGCAGGGTGATCTCATCCTGCTCTGCCTTCAGGCTCTGGATCTCCTTGCTGTTGGAAAAGCAGCCCATGATTAACCCCGAACCCCTGAGTTTACCTTGATGGAGCACTCCAGGCACATCAGTCCTGCAAGGAGACTGGGAGAGAGGAACTTCCCACCTAAGCAAGCAGGCAAAAGGGACGTGTCCAGGGTCTCAGATCCAACTCAGGAAGCCTCATCACCTGAGACCCGGTTCACCATGATTTCTTGCTGCCTTGCCTTCTCTGAAGTGGGTATTTTTCCTAGGGAACGATTTGCAGCTGTGCCTGTCAAAAGCCATTACCCAGACATGCAGGAAGCCCCCAGGTTTTCTTTTGCCAGCAACTCCCTGGCACCTGTCTGATTCTGCAGCCCATCTTTCCAGACTTCACCGCCAATTAGCTCCAGTAATGAGGAGCAAACCATCAGGCAGGATTATTTCTTTCTTTGTTTATTTAGAGACAGAGTCTCGCTCTGTTGCCCAGGCTGGAGTGCAGTGGCAGGATCTCAGTTCACTGCAACCTCCGCCTTCCAGGTTCAAGCGATTCTCCTGCCTCAGCCTCCCGAGCAGCTGGGACTATAGCTGTGCACCACCATGCCCGGTTAATTTTTGTATCTTTAGCAGATACAGGGTTTCGCTATGTTGGCCAGGCTGGTCTTGAACTATTAGCCTCATGTGATCCACCTGCCTCGGCCTCCCAAAGTGCTGAGATTCCAGGCACGATCCACCGCGCCTGGCCAGGCAGGATTTTTCAAGTTTGCATCAACACAGGGATGCATAGTAGCCTCTAAGCTCCAGCAGTTTCTCTCCTTGGGGTGCTAATGATGAAATGAGCGGATCCGAGTCTCCTCCCTTACCTGTCTACTGGGATGTGGGAAAACTGGGATTTGGAAAAGAGCAAAGGGAGCTTGAAAGACTGCACAACAATGGAACAAGGGGAAATGGCACAGAGGCTGAGTTTCTAGCAGTCTGGAGACTGACACCCACTGCCCAATGTGGTTTGTGGATCAGTAGCTTGAATGTCCTTTCGAAGCCTGGAGAAATGCAGAATCTCAGGTACTCAACCTGGGACCAATTGGATCAGAACCTGCTTCATTACAAGATAAAGTGTCCAGATGCTTCAACAGTTTTGGACACACTGCTATAGAATAGCAAAGAATGTTCTACAGGCCCAGCGCAGTGGCTCATGCCTGTAATCCCAGCACCCTGGAAGGCCAAGGTTGGTGGATCACGAAGTCAGGAGTTCAAGACCAGTCTGGCTAAGATGGCGAAACCCCATCTCTATTAAAAATACAAAAAATTAGCCGGGGGTGGTGGCAGGCACCTGTAATCCCAGCTACTGAGGAAGCCGAGGCAGAGAATTGCTTGAATCTGGGAGGCGGAAGTTGCAGTGAGCCAAGATCGCACCACTGCACTCCAGCCTGGGCGACAGAGCCAGACCCTGTCTCAAAAAAATAAATAAAAAATAAAAATTCCATCTCGATAATACAAAAACAAACAGAAAAGAATGTTCTACAGGCCTGGAGCAGTGGCTCACTCCTGTAATGTCAGCACTTTGGGAGGCTGAGGCAGGAGGATTGCTTGAACTCAGGAGTTTGTGACCAGCCTGGACAACATAGTGAGGCCCTATCTCTACAAATATATTAAAAGTAGCTAAGGTCGGAGGATTGCTTGAGCCCAGGAGGCAGAGGTTGCGGTGAGCTGAAATTGTGCCACTGCATTCCAGCCTGGGAGACACAGAGTGAGACCCTGTCTCAAAAAAAAAAAAAAAAAAAAAGAGAGAGAGAGAATGTCCTAGGACAGGAGGTGGCAAACCTTTTTCTGTAACGGGCCAAAAAGTGAACCAACAGGCATGGCTGTGTGCCAATAGAGCTTTATTGACAAAAACCGGCAGCCAGCCAGATTTGGCCGTAGTTTGTAGATCCCGTTCTAATAGGATGTTCTGCAGTGATGAAAATGTTCTCTGAGGGGCCCATAGTATCCACTTAGGCACAAGTGATCATTGAGCACTTGAAATGCGGCTATTTCAGCAGAACTAAATTTTATTTTATTTTATTTTATTTTATTTTAATTAATTACAAATGTAAATAGCCACATTTGGCCAATGACCACCTGTCTTCTCAACAGTCCTGGGGACTCATCTCCCCTGCTTAAGCCCCTCCTGGAAGGAGGCGGGGAGTGGGAGGGAAGAGGGGGTGAGTGTCTTTGTTAAGGTGGAGAGAAAAAAGAGAGTATAACACTCTACAAGAGTTAGGTTTTCAGGGTGCCGTGGCTCATGCCTGTAATCCCAGTACTTTGGGAGGCCAAGGTAGGCAGATCACCTGAGGTCAGGAGTTCAAGACCAGCCTAGCCAACATGTCGAAACCCTTTCTCTACTAAAAATACAAAACTTAGCCAGGCGTGGTGGTGGGCGCCTGTAGCCCCACCTATTCAGGAGGCTGAAGCAGGAGAATCGCTCGAACCTGGAAGGCAGAGGTTGCAGTGAGCCGAATTTGCACCACTGCACTACAGCTCGAGCAACAGAGCAAGACTCCATCTCAAACAAAAGAAAAAAAAAAAAAGAGGTTTTCAGAGAGGGTTGGTAAAAGCAAAAGGAAAGTTTGTCTCTCTTGCAGGTAGGGCTGGAACTGGTATAAAGGGAGTGAAGTGCCCCAAAACCTTAAGTTACTCTCTGGATGTTGTAAGCCAGGGTCAGCACTGGGGAAAAGTGCCTCCTTAAATACTGTATAGGTATTTCACTCGAAAGAACCTAAACTTGGCCGGGTGCGGTGACTCATGCCTGTAATCCCAGCACTTTGGGAGGCCGAGGCGGGGGGATCACCTGAGGTCAGGAGTTCGAGACTAGCCTGACCAACATGGTGAAACGCCATCTCTACTAAAAATACAAAATTAGCTGGGTGTGGTCGCACATGCCTGTAATCCCAGCTACTTGGGAGGCTGAGGCAGGAGAATTGCATGAACCCAGGAGGCACAGGTTGCAGTGAGCCAAGATCGTGCCATTGCACTCCAGCCTGGCCAACAAGAGGAAACTCCATCTCAAAAAATAAATAAATAAAATAATAAGAACCTAAACTCTCCATTCTTCCACCCTCCTCCCCTTCAGTTCCATCAAAGTGAAACCAGATCAAATGGATTGACTTAGTAGATCCAGAAGCCTGTGTGTGGGGTGGGGCTGGGGTGAAGAAGGGTTAAATTCAAAAAAAATTGTCAGAGACACATCAAAAGGAGGCATTTCCTGATGCACACCAGAGGTAGGCTTGAGAATCAGGTCAGCCAGCCACAGAGGTGCAGGTTGTGGCCTGTACAGCCCTCGGAAGCACCACCAGTTTGAAAACATCCCACTGTTTTGTAGATTTATTACACTTTTCTGGGAGACACTTTCTTGTTCTAACAAAATCTCTACATAATGACAATTTTTCCAACAGATAGCAGTAAAGTGTCTTGAGAAAGTGTGCTTTTTAAAAAATTCACATGGAGGTCCCTTATGGGCTAGTCCTGGCCCTGAGTAAGTTGAATCCATGGAAAATCTAAAGAATCCCTTTTCAGGCCAGGCATGGTGGCTCACGCCTGTAATCCCAGCACTTTGGGAGGCATAGGCGGGCAGATTGCTTGAGCTCAGGAGTTTGAAACCAGCCTGGGCAACTTGGTGAAACTCCATCGATACAAAAAATTAGCCAGGCGTGCTGGCACACGCCTGTGATCCCAGCTACTCAGGAGGCTGAGGTTGGAGAATCGCTTGAGTCTGGGAGACAGGTTGCAGTGAGCCGAGATGGCACCACTGCACTCCAGCCTGGGTGACAGAGCCAGACCCTGTCTCAAAAAAATAAATAAAAAATAAAAATTCCTTTTCCCCATCCTGTGAACTTCACATCTAACAGTAAGATTTCCTTTCTAACAATGGACAGTTTCTGCCTTTATAAACAATATGGATGCAGCTAAGGAGTTACATTCCCTTGGAGGGAATCTAAGAAAGCCTGTTTAATGTTTGTGTATTCAACCCCAGGGAACACCTTTCTGTTGCCTGAAGAAATGATACACTCAGCCGGGCGCGGTGGCTCACGCCTGTAATCCCAGCACTTTAGGAGGCCGAGGTGGGTGGATCATCTGAGGACAGGAGTTTGAGACCAGCCTGGCCAACATGGTGAAATCCTGCCTCTACTAAAAATACAAAAATTAGCAGGGCACGATGGTGGGCACCTGTAATCCCAGCTACTCAGGAAGCTGAGGCAGGAGAATCACTTGAACCCGGAAGGCGGAGGTTGCAGTGAGCCAAGATCATGCCATTGCCACTTCCAGGTTGGGCAACAACAGTGACACTCCATCTCCAAAAAAAAAAAGAAAAAAGAAAAGAAAAGAAACAATACACTCTGTAATTTCTGATGCAACCCAATTTCAAATATTCTATCTTTCAGTTCTCATAAGGACACACAATTAGGAAACATCACTGGGGTTTCCACCTTCTCTGGGAACTCCTCCACTTCCCTGTTGGACCAAGGGAGTGACAGCCCCAGACATTTTTGTGTCCCTTGCCCCCTCAAGCCACAGCTGATTAGACTAGGAGGAGACCCCTGACCCAAGCTGAGCCTATCAGAGTCTCCCTCTCCCGGGAATGTGGGGTTCGAATTGATTCAAGACCCTTTCTCTGTGCAGCTGGTAAACTTAAGAGTTGGAGCAGCCACTTCTCACCAGCTGGGGCTGAAATTCAGAGAGAGAGAGAACAAAAGTCATGTGTGGAGAAAAACAGAAACCAGAACTCCTTCCTCAATTAGGTCCTTCCCTGAGATCTGGGTGCCCAGCCCCCGGGGGTCCCCAAAACACCCTGCATTCTGACAATAAATCCCCCCTCTCCACTGAAGCCATCTCAAGTGGATTTCTCTTGAAACTAGGCTCTGCAGATAAAAGACCATGAGTCCTCCAATGGGGCTCAGAGGTGGCTCCCTGCCCCAGGGGTCACAAGGCAGAAGACAAGCACCACGAAACCCAACCCCAACTTTCCTCCAAGGTCACTCAGTGTGAAACTCCAACCATCACTTACTACTGACTCGCGATCTTCTGCTGGTTTCGGAAGTTAAAAGACTTCCGGCTTTCCACCATCTTCCTGAACTGCTGCCTTAGCTTCCGGAGCTCTGCCTCTGCCTGCTGCTCTTTGGCCTTCTCCGAAAGTTCCTGGGGAGTGTCGGAGTCTTTTCTTCTGTGCTTCTTCAACTGGGGGAGATGGAGGGAAGTGGGAGGCCGTAGTGGGTCAGGTGGCTACAGAAGCCCACAGATGGGCTTAAGGGTGAAGGGCAGTGGGGATGGCTGGGCCAGGGCTGGAGGTGGAATACCTTCCCTTGGGTGATGTCAGCTGCTTGTCTATTACATGGAAAACCCACCCTGGCTTGCTAGGGTGGAGAGATGACTGACTTGTAATTGCATACTCTGGTCGGGGGAGGGTATTCTTTGGGGTTCTGGGTTCAAGCTCTCGTTGTGCCATCTAGTGGGAACTTGGGTAAATTACTGGATGTCTCTGAGCCTCTAGCCTCCCACCTACGAAACGGGCGAGCACAGATCTGTTGTCAGGATGAGATGAACTAACATGTGTAAAGTAGACAGCACAGTGCCTGACCCCGTAGTAGGTGTTCTGTGGCCAGGAGTTGGCATCACCTACCACAGACATCTTGAAGGAACCGCACTTTGCCTCCGCTCAGACACTGTATCCAGGGAGCTCAAAGCCAGTGAGCCTGCCTCTCTCTCTCTCTCTGCAATGCCCTGTTCATGGTGGCGAAAGGAAGAGAACTTGTAAGCCACCCCTGCTGGGGGGTGCAGGTCAGAACGGCACCTCCTCCCTCCCCCTGCCATCCCTTCCTCCACCCACACCTTGGCACATGAGGAGGATACCCAGATGGCTGCCCGGGTGTGATAAAACGCACTTATTGGTTTTAAAGCAATGTTTGCCTGGAACTTGCTTCTCTCACCAGTTATTATTAGGAGCTGGGCAGATGGTTGCGGTGTGTCAGTTACCCTCCTGCTCCCTGTGTACCCAAAGAGGGGGCAAAATGGCATCAGGGGGCCGGGCACAGTGGTTTATGCCTGTAACCCAGCACTTTGGGAGGCTGAGGTGGGTGGGTCACTTGAGGTCAGGAGTTTGAGACCAGACTGGTCAACAAGGTGAAACCCTGTCTCTACAAAAAATACAAAAAAATTAGCAGGGCGTGGTGATGCACATCTGTAATCCCAGTTACTCAGGAGGCTGAGACAGAATTGCTTGAACCCTGGAGGCAAAGATTGCAGTGAGCCAAGATCGCACCACTGCACTCCAGCCTGGGTGACAGAGCAAGACTCCATCTCAAAAAACAAGGCATCAGGGCAGTGTGTCCCCTCATGGAGTTAAACAGAAATGTGCCCAACTTCAGCTACAGCTGTTAGGGAATCCCCACCCTCCCATCTTAGAACAGGAGTCAGTATTCTTATCATGTCACCACTTGAACTTCATCTGGCCCATAGTTATTCAGAGCAAGGGACAGCATTAATCCCACGCATCCTTTGAGGTTGTGAGACCCGCTGCACAGCCAATTCCAGACTGCAGGAGCTGGGTTCCAAAAGCAGAAATTCCATTTTTGCCACCATTGAGGGTCCTGCCATGCAATGGTTTAAAGCATTGATTGTGCCAGTCATCGGATTTCATTTCAAATTCCTCCAAAGCCACTTATTAACCTTGGGCAAGTCACTTCAGTTCTCTAGGTCTCATTTTCCTCACCTGGAAAATGGGAGAAATTCTAGAAGCCATGTCATTTGAGTGTGTAAGACACTCAGCACTCAGCACTGTGCTTGGGACATAGTAAGTGCTCAGTACGCAGTGGCTGGGATGATATGGCAGGATGTGGATTGTTTCAGAGGGTGAAGGTGCAGAGTGGTGAATGTTGATAAGGGTGAGAGGGGTGTTCCTCTATCTCCTGGTAACAATACCCTGACGTTCCCATGGGAAGCCACACCTTCCTGCACTCCTAGGGGCTGACCATACCCCACCATCTTCAAGATTGGGGCATCTGACTCTGGATGGGCGAGTCAGAGCGCCAGATCCTGGTCAGTCTGAATGATCTCAGCCCTCTAGCCTGGGATTTCTTCAGGGGTGGATGGGCACATGAAGCTAGCTAGTCCAACCAGAGTGAATGGTGGAATTTAAGCTGGAACACTCATGAAGAGAGAGACTTTGTTTCCTGCTGCACTTGAACCTCGGTGGATAAGGTCAGGAGGGGTTGACAGCCATCTGGCAGAGACTGAGAACCAAGCTAAAATGGAAGAGAGAAGACAAAATGAAGACAGACTGAATCTTGAGGCTTGAGGACATCATCCAAGCACCTGCATTTAGCCAGGCCTGAACATACCTCTGGGTAATGTCCAATTACAGAAATCAGTATATTCCATTAAAGCAACCTGAGATGCATTTTCTATTGCTTGCAACCAAATGAGTTCTCATACCTGAAATACTTATGTCTATTTAGCACATAAACTGAGCCCCCACTGTATGCTACACATTGTGTGGAATTCAGTGGTAAGTCAGCCTGCGAAGTGCCATAAATCCTGCCTAGGACAAAACAGTAAAAAAGGCTCCACAAAGATGACTTTTAACTTGGGTTTTGAAGAATGAATAGGAGTTCACCAGGCAGAGAAGAAAAGTTGGAGGGTGGGAGGGGGTATTCTGGGCAGAGATAACTGCCCAGGCAAAGGGTGAGAAGGAAGTGACTGAAAGGAGTGTTCAGAAAATGATTTGTGCTCAAGTATAGGCAGTGTCTAGTGGAAAGTGACTAGCAAAGAGATCTGGAAAAGACTGGATGCTGCCTTTTTTTTTTTTTTTTGGATGGAATTTTGCTCATGTTGCCTAGACTGGAGTGCAATGGCACGATCTTGGCTCACTGCAACCTTAGCCTCCCAGGTTCAAGTGATTCTCCTGCCTCAGCCTCCCAAGTAGCTGGGATTACAGGCATGCACCACCATGTCCAACTAATTTTGTATTTTTAGTAGAGACGGGGTTTCACCATTTTGATCAGGCTGGTCTTGAACTTCTGACCTCAGGTGATCCACCCACCTCAGCCTCCCAAGGTGCTGGGATTACAGGCGTGAGCCACCACACCCAGCCTGGATGCTTCTTAAAAGCAAGGATGAGATAAGATCAGCCTGAAAGAGATCAGTTCATTGCCTCCCCAACAGTCACTTCATGTGGCATTGTTGTTTGAGTTAGCTGCCCATCCAGGGCTTTGCTTCCCTGCTCCTCTTGGATCCAGGCAGGGCTCTCTGATGAATTCTCACCAATGGGATGTGAGTAGAGGGGAAGTCTGTCACTTCCAGACCATTACTTTTAAGAAGTGGGTGTGACCTTTCCATCCTTTCTTGCCCCATCTGACATTTATAGGAGGCAGAGCCACAAGACACGTCCCCAGATCAACTTGTAGAGGAAGTCACCTGCCAACCATGAACATCCTCATTGGGCTGTTACACAAATGCAACATTAACTTCTGTTATGTTAAACCAATGAAATGTGGGGATGTATTTTTTACAGCAGCTAGCAAGCCTCAGAGAATACCCTAACTTCTTTCTTCCTAACACAAATCTGATTTTCTACCCCCTCAATGTGCCCAGTCCCAGAGGATGACTGATGATTGGTTCCTGCTAATCATGGTAACCCCATTTCCCTTTGTCAATGATTGGTCTAAGGATGGACATGTGACCCAGATGTGGCCAATGAGACATAAGGAGAAGTCTATTCCATTCCTTTGTGACAAAAAGTGAGAATTTGGGCCAGGCGCGATGGCTCACGCCTGTAATTCCAGCACTTAGAGAGGCCAAGGCAGGCAGATCACTTGGGGTCAGGAGATTGAGACCAGCCTGGCCAACATGGTGAAACCCCTTCTCTACTAAAAATACAAAAATTAGCTGGGCATGGTAGCAGGCACCTGTAATCCCAGCTACTCAAGAGGCTGAGGCAGGAAAATCGCTTGAGCCCGGGAGATGGAGATTGCAGTGAGCCAAGATTGGACCACTGCACTCTAGCCTGGGCAACAGAGTAAGACTCCGTCTCAAAAAAAAAAAAAAAATTAGTGAGAGCTTGTCCGTGTTCCCCTCTCCTTCTGCTTTTAGAAATTATTGTGAAGACATGCATGATGGTGCAGTGGCAACCATCCCATGACCATGAGGAGAAATATCACCATCACACTAAAAACAGCAAAGAGGAAAGATGGGAAAAAATGTAGGTCCCAATTGATACTGTTGGCTACTGCCCCATCCCTGGAACTGCCTACCTCTAGACATCGTGTTAGGTGAAATAACAAGAGTCATTGTTGTTTAAGGCAGTCACCAAGTATTTTGTTCATTGAAGCCTAAAGCATTCCTAACTCACATGATGCATACGTTGAAAATGATTCTCAGGTTAATGGGTGATAGGAAAATAGTGGCTGGTAATGTAGGAACCTCCACATTTTCCCTGATGTTTTTGAGGGTTTGGGGGCCAAGTGAATTGTCTGATGTTGGGAAATTCCCACAGGCAGGGAAGTGGTATAAGACAATGGTTCTGTATCTTGATCATTTCTGGAATGATCCCCACCTCCAGGTGGGGGTAGTAGCTGTAGGAGGATTTACCTGACTAACAAGGTTTGGGCAAAGGATACTCTCTCTGAGGCCTCTTTCAACCCTGGAATTTGGGGCAGCTCCAATTTCATATTGTCCAGGAGCTGTTCTATGTTCCAGGGCCCTTTGGGTCCTAAGTGGATTTGTAATGCACCATCTTAACAGCTTGAATTGGGTATTCCTGACTTTCACTGATAGTGTGATTTGACCTCTCTGAGCCTCAGTTTCCTCATCTGTAGAATGGGGATACCCACACCCATATCTCAGCGTAAAATAATGTTGGTAAAGTGGTTAGCATAGTGCCTAGTTCATGTGCCTAGTTCATGACAGATGCTAGGTGAATGTAGCTGATTTGTGAATTAGGATTTGCAAGTACCAGTCTGTCTGGCCCCTGAGATCACTGGCTGGGTTATGCACCATCCTCCAGGAAGCAAAGTCTCTGTCACCTCCTGCCTTTGTGCTGATTCATACGCACATACGCCGTCACTCTCCCCTAGGGTGCTGGCTTCTCTTCAGGTTCCGGATGTTAACCCAGGCCTTTCCCTTCAGTCAGTGCCCTCTGGGATGGGCTCCTATGTTCCCTGGGGGAACAGATCTCCCCCACCCCAAACCCCATCCTCATAGCTTGGCCTGCAGAGCATCTCCTGGATGTCCTGACCCCTGGCTTACCACCCTTTCATTCAAGGGTCTCAAACTCACAGTCCATGGGGCCAAATCAACCTGCCTCCAGTTCTGTTCCACAGTGTTTCAAAACATAAATGTGGGTCACGCACTCACTCTCCTGGCCACAGGCCCCACTCCTCCCTATTGGCTAACCTCCCTTCCCCCTAATTCTACATTTTCTGTAACTGCCCAGAGCCAGCAGGAATTTGAATTTGCAGTTCCTGGTAGGAATCTAAAACCTGCCCACTTCTGGGGAACAGCGTGGGAAAGGAAAAGTGCAGAGAAGTCCAGTGGCCCGGGTCAGGGGACGTCAGGCAAGGGTCTCCTGCTCCTTGGGCCTCAGTCTATTCACCACAGCATCCATGGTCCTGGGCACATGGGAAGCTCTTGGCAAACACAATTTGAATGAATGACATTTCCTCCAGGCAGAGATCATCTTCATTTATCTAATATTTAATTAGGCCTGCACCTCCTCTGCTTCTGAATTTTAACAACCTGCCTTTAAAAGACAAGCCTGCCCCATGATGGATTCCCTAGGGACCCTGGGACAGGCAGCTATAGGGATCATATTGAGCCAAGGCTGAACAACCTGGTGATGGAATTAAACATGTGCTTAGGGCACTAGTCAAACAGGAGCACAGAAACACATACACGGGTTTTGGTTTTCGTTTTGTTTTGTTTTGTTTTTTTAAAAAAGGATTATTATGGGAGGAAAATAATTTGTTGAACTTTTTTTTTTTTCCTTTTTTTGAGACAGAGTCTCTCTCTGTCATCCAAGCTAGTGTGCAGTGGTTCAATCTCGGCTCACTGCAGCCTCAACCTCCCAGGCTCAAGCAATCCGCCCCTCACAACCTCCCAAGTAGCTGGGACTACAGGTGGTGCCACCACCCCTGGCTAAGTTTTTAAATATTTTGTAAAGACGAATTTGCCCAGGCTGGTCTTGAACCCCTGGGCTCAAACGATCCTCTCACCTCAGCCTCCCAAAGTGCTAGAATTACAGGCGTGAACCACCTCGCGCGGCCCTGGAGTTATTTTACGCGCTACAATTTATTTATGCATGATTGCGGGAGACCCTGATATCTTCCAGGCTTAGGGCAGCGAGATCTGAATGGGCTGGGGACCGCCACCGCTCTTTGCTTTTCCCTGGCAGGGGGAGCTGTGGCGCAGCAGGCGCTGCCGGACTGGCGGCAAAACTTACCAGTGGCGGGGCCCGGACTCCTTGTCGGTGACAGCTCGGGCCGCTTGTCCGACGCTGCTGCAACTGCGAGTCCCACGGTGCCCGGAGGACTGCTTGCTGCGCGGCCTCGCTGCGCCACACCCCCAGCCCCACGCCCGGGCGTTCTGGGACCCCTGGAACGGGCGGGCGCCTTTGTGACCCGCACAGACATGGACGTTCTCCTCTGCAAGTCCACAGGGAGGGCACAGGGTCCTCGGGAAGAGAGGACAAGAGCAGCTGGTTGGAGGGAAGCTTTTGGTGGGGGGAGAGGGGCGACGCACTCTCTAAAGATCCCTTACCACACTACTCATGACGCTAAGTGACTTCTTGAGTCAATCAACAATCTCAGCCCCTCCCTCGGCCAACGCCATGCAATCGCTGGTCAACCTCACCCCACTCACACCCCATTCACAGTCTTCTTAGCCTACACCTACACTCATGCTCACAGCAGCCCTGCTAGGTACGGACTTCACACGCAGCTAACTCAAAGGAGCCCAATTTTCCCTACTCTGAAAAAAAAAAAAAAAAACAGTTGGTGGGGGGAAGAGAAATCATTTATGAGAAAAATAACTTCATCAGTGCGGGAGAATTTTCTTCAGAACATTCACCTGACCCCCACCCACTGTAAGGATAACACGGGAACCCAAGTGTGATCCAGGCAAGTGAGCTTTTCACTGCCCTAACGGAGTTTAGTAGTTTAAAGATACGCATTTTTCATACAATCGGCCCTGAAACACAAGTCAGCCCCTCTAGGGCTAAGCTCTAGAAACAATCACAGAATTTATGCAAAATTATTGGGGGTACGCGTTTTCTACAGTAATTTTGATTCCATGTGATTTCCACTTTAACTCCTCGCCCCCTGAGTGGATTCAAGGGTCTCAAACTCACAGCCCATGGGGCCTCAGCCCTGCTAAGGTCTCCACTTGATCTGTAAATTCTTGGGACAGGATGTGTTTTAGAACTTACCATATTTTGAAGGCCAGGTGTGCTGGCTCATGCCTATAATCCTAGCACTTTGGGAGGCTGAGGAGGGCAGATCATTTAAGGTCAGAAGTGCAAGACCAGCCCGGCCAACATAGCGAAACCCTATGTTTGTGTGTGTGTGTGTGTGTGTGTGTGGTTTTTTTTTTTTTTTTTTTTTGTATTTCTACTAAAAATACAAAAAATTTAGCCCGGCATGGTGGTGCGCACCCAGTGGGTGCCTGTAGTCTCAGCTACTCGGGAGGCTAGGGCAGGAGAATTGATTAAACCCAGGAGGCGAAGGCTGCAGTAAAAAAAAAAAAAGAAAGAAAAGAAAAGAACTTACCATATTTTTGGTTTCAGAAAGATCATATGGTACACAAGGGAGTATGTTGCCCCGATGTTGCTGGCAGCCACGTTGTAACCATGAAGGAAGTCAGTGGGACAGTATATTACATATAGGGTTTGGGCAACACGGTCCAAACCAAACACAGTACTGTTTCTGCAAGGAAGCATCAATACTCATGTCAAGTAAGGAGGATAGATTTTGAACAGCTACATGTCAGGCCTTGCCTCCAAATGATTCATATGAAGTGTTTTGGATACATTTGACCATCCTCATTTTACAGACGGGGAAACAGACTTGGAGAAACCGAGTTTTGCAGTCAGTGGAGCAGCCAGGATTTGAACCCAAGGCTCTCTGTCTCTAGAGCCCCACGCTTTTCCATAACCTGACTGAAACCGCAGCCCCAAAGCTGAGCAGCCGTGCAAGCTGATATCTCTCATCTCTGATATTTAAAGGGCTGCTCCAGCACTCAGCTCCACGCAGAGCCCAGTGACTCACACATTTCAAGTGTCGACGTCTGAAAAATGATTAAGTTCAATTAGGTTCAGGACTTGTTAAAAATAGACCTTCCTCTGACGAATTTACTCTCCGTGTCTTTATGGGCGCAGCTCTCAGCAGCCCCCATGCAGAGACGTACCAGGCTTTTTTAATTAGAACATGTCAGAATCGATTCTGCTAAAGGGACCTTCTGCTTCATCAGCGGGACTTGGAGCAGGGTGAGATGCCAGCTTGCCAAAGCGATGAGCCAGCGGTGGGAAATGTTGGCAACAGCAGAGCCTCTAGAACACAGGAGGAAATTAGAGCCAAGCCGCAGAGGGACCGGGCAGAGGCATTTGGATGCAGACCAGAAAACTGACAGTCCAAGTGACTCTTTGGTTACAAAAATCAGAAACCCACTCGAACTAACTCAAAATGATTTTTTTTTTTTTTTTTTGGCCTCCTCAGCATCTGTTTCCCTTTCCTTCTTCCCAGCCGATCCCAATTTGTTCAGGTAACAGTCCTTCCCCGTTAAGCCTATGTAACCAGAAGCAGTTGAGTTTTACACACACCTCCAAGGTAGATCTCCATTAGTGTAAGCCAATCACAGCCATCCCATCCTCCTTGCCAATGACTGGGAATCTAAGTTTAAGCCAATTAGTGCATAGCATTCTCTCAGAAACTGCTACTGGTCCAGGAATAGGCATGCAACTGACAGTGGCCTATCAGACAGAAAGGAATAACTTGGGTGGGAGGGAGATGCTTTTCTACCCTTATGGATGCAAACAAGAAAGCATGTTGCCCCTCATGTTGCTGGCAGCCCTCTGGCAACTATGAGGGAAGCCAGTGTGCGATCAAGGCTAACACATGATGGAGGGAAGAGCCTAGGGAGAATTACAGAACAATGTGGCTGGCATGGTGATCATACCATGCCTGAAATCCACCTTAGGAACAATAGGAACTCTGCACTTCCTATTATGTAAATGAATAGGTTTTCTTGGTTTTTTTAGCCAGTGTGGATTGCAGTTTGTTTCTTTCATCTAAAGCATGCTGCATCATATGAATATTAGGGCTACCTCACGACGGTTGGAGGCAGATCCCATGAGGAACAAGAACCCAGAACTAGTAAGCTGTCAGAAACCAAGGCAGCTCCTCCCTCCAGCCCTCTCTGGAACCACCTGGTCTCTCAACTTGGCCTCTTTCTTTTAAGGACTATTTTCTCTGCTGTCCCCTCTTCCTCCCATCTTGCTTCTTACGAGTTCCCATTTTAGAGCTCAGCTTAAAAAAATAAATGAATCAATGTCCTCATCTCAATTTCCTCATCTCTTCCCAAGAGATGCTCCAATGTCCTCCTGCCTTCCCAAGAGAACACAATTGTCCAAGTCTAGATTTGATGTCCTGTCCCAATGACGTGGGTCCAGGGGACCATGGTCAGGTGGCCCCCAACAGGGACTGTGAAAATCTCACCAGGCGCAGTGGCTCATGCCTGTAATCCCAGCACTTTGGGAGGTCAAGGTGGGTTGATTGCTTGAGCCCAAGAGTTCGACACCAGCCTGGGCAACATGGCAAGACTCTGTCTCTGCAAAAAACATACAAAGATTAGCTGGGAACGGTGGCATGCACCTATAGTCCTAACTACTCAGGAGGCTGAGACAGGAGGAACACCTGAGCCTGGGAGTTTGAGGCTGCAGTGAGCTATGATCATGCCGCTGCACTCCAACCTGGGTAACAGAGCAAGACCCTATCTCAGAAAAATAAAAAATAAAAATAAAAATAAATTCTTAGGAAAGGGGGCATAGGCAGGGAGGGCACAGTAGTGTAATGGAGAGAACTGCTCTGCTTTGTGCCCTGAGAAAAGCAAACAGACCTCTCTGAGCCTCAATTTGGTGTGACTGCCAGGACCAAATTGAGAACTTTAAAGTCTGCAAAGGTTGTGAAGCATTTCACCCCACCTATGGCATTCAATAAAAACAGTACCGATCCACAAGCTAAGTGTGAAGTAGTCTGGATTCCCACTTCTGCTGTCATGTATACTGAATAACATGACAAATCATTTTGGGGGAAAAAAAAGTGGGTGTCCCGACTTCACTAGTGCCATTAGTCTCACTTCATTTGTTTTCTGGGTAACAAATAAACTGTTGTTGTTTTTCCTCAGCGAAGGAGGCCACTCTAGCCCCTTCCATCTTCCTCTGCCCTGCCGAGTGGCCTAATCTCCACGCCTGTGGCATTTGAGCTCCCCCAATCCTTCCCCCTTCTATGGTGGATTGGACGAGAAGAGAACACCTCACACAAGTTAAACCAATCAGAGCTCCTTTCCCAGGAAATGGAATCTGGACACAAAATTCCCTGGGAAACAAAGGATTGATGAATAGGTTAATGAGGTGTTGGATGTTGGAGCCAACAGACTGTGTGAAGTCAGGCCAGGGTAGCCTACTTTTGCCAAGTCTACCCTGCTGTGGCCGCACAGGCAGACCATGCACAAAGCACTTCCCTCATGTTTTCCTTGCTAGCAAAGTCCTGATTTTTATTCTAGACTTGGGTGGAGGACCCTGGATCTCACAGGTCTGAAGATCTCATTGAGCCTACCTGAGATCTCAGGGTGGCCAATGAGAGGCGAATTCTGCTGGGAGAACTTGGGACAGGTGCTGGCCGAATGTCTCCAGTCCTCAGAGTCCATGGTGTCAGCTGAAGTTGCGTGGGGCCTACAGGTGGGGGAGGTGAGTTCTGTTCCTGCTGCAGGGCCACCAACCCGCCAGATCATCCAAGGCCTAATGCCTTCAGTGCATTCCATGCTGCTTAGCCAGCTGGAGAGGATTCTGTTGTTTGCAACCGAGAAATATCAGATACAGACTTTCCTTCCAGAACAGGTGCTCAGGGGCTGCAGGTTATGGTACAGCCAAGTCCAAAAACCAACTGCAAGACAACCAGTCCCAAAACAGCACAGAAATGGCATCAAAAATTCGATACAGGCCAGGTATGTGACTCACACCTGTAATCCAGCACTTTGGGAGGCCAGGTGGAAAGATCACTAAAGGTCAGGACTTTGAGACCAGCGTGGCCAACATGGTGAGAGCCTGTCTCTACTAAAAATACAAAAAAATTAGCGCGTGGGTGCACGCACCTGTAGTCCCAGCTACTCAGGAGGCTGAGGCAGGAGAATCGTTTGAACCTGGGTGCAGAGGTTACAGTGAGCTGAGATTGCACTATTGCACTCCAGCCTGGGGAACGAGGGAGATTCTGTCTCAAAAAAAAAAAAAAAAATTCTGATCGCAAAGATTATGAATCTCTTTAGGGGTGACCCCAAGTTCCTGAGGAACATGCGCTTTGCCAAGAAGCACAACAAA